TAGCAATGTGTTTTTGTTTGATCATGTGATTCATGTCATCTCATACTTTGTTGTAATTAAGTCAACATGGTTGTAGATCCCTGTTCTGACGAACTAATGAAATTTACTATACTTTTAGTTATTAGAGCAAGTGTTCCTAAGCTGGAGCTGGATGCAGTGTTTGAACAGAAGAATGATATAGCGAGAGCTGTGGAAGAGGAACTTGAAAAGGTATTGCTCTGCCTTCTTTGTTGTTTTAGGTTTGGATTAATCAAGTTTGTGAAAGCTGAAACATAACTATTGTTTTGAATCTTCAGGCAATGTCACATTATGGGTTTGAGATAGTTCAGACTCTTATTGTGGATATTGAACCAGATGAGCATGTGAAGAGGGCAATGAATGAGATAATGCAGGTACGATACATGCCAGCTTTATGAATGATATGTATTTATTTCACTGTTTTTTTGGCTCTCTTTCCCTTAATTTGTATAATATGTACCTTGTCTGCTAATGTTTGGTGCCCTAGCTGGCCTGAAAATCATTCGAAAGAACTATACATGCTCCGCATGAAGAAATTATATTTGAAAATGTTAGCTTGTCTAAAGAGATTGTAAATAGGTATGTGATACATGCCGTCTTGTTATAAATAGCTGCTAGATTGAGGGTGGCTGCGAATGAGAAGGCTGAAGCAGAGAAGATACTGCAGATCAAGCGAGCAGAAGGAGATGCCGAGTCAAAATACCTGGCCGGGCTCGGTATAGCTCGGCAGCGACAGGCTATCGTAGATGGACTCAGGGACAGTGTTCTGGCCTTCTCCGTGAATGTTCCCGGAACAACATCGAAGGATGTCATGGACATGGTTCTTGTGACACAATACTTTGATACAATGAAGGAGATCGGTGCGTCGTCAAAATCCAACTCTGTTTTTATCCCACACGGGCCAGGTGCTGTTAGAGACGTCGCTTCTCAAATCAGGGATGGCCTTCTTCAGGCTGGCCAAAGCAACTGAATACCTTCAAGTATTGCATAGTAGATTGGGCTACCCAGAAGAGTGTGTCTTAATCATTCTACCTAATAATAACATTGATAATCCAAGTTCGGGTGGGCATCGTCCTTAATGAGTGATGGTTGAAGTTTGGCCGAACAGTTATCCATCTTAAAAGGTTTAGATTTAAGATTCGTGTTCCCTATATAAATCCATGGAGCTATTTTCTTTGTACAAGCAGAATGATAGCAGTATTAGCATATATGGTATTTGAATTTTATGAATTTGTACCCAACACTGCTACAGTTTATGAATATGTATAGAGGTTTTTATGGCGTTTTATCTAAAGATGTGACAATATATGTATGCGTGCCTGGACTAACCCAACAATGCCGGCAAGCATTTAATTTAATCGGATGAAGGACATCAATGGTTATACTTAACTATGATCAAATGATTATTTTGGTCATTCAATTTTAAAAGTTATAAAATGACTATTAAATTTTAGTATTAAAATATTATAAAGTTTTTTATGACGTCACAATGACAATTCTATAATATTTTAATAAATTTAATTATTATTTCGTAATTTTTAAAAGTTTAACAACGAAAGCGATTATTTGAAGATAATTCAGGGACCTCTGATTTACTTCACCCAGATTATTCTGATGAGGTTCAACAAATCGACATGTTAATAAAAAATGGTTCAATCGAAATCAAGCAAATAAACGACTAATGACTAATCCCTTGCCTGCCTGCAAACAAGTGAACTAATCAAATTTAAGTAACACTTGATTTCACAGATGAATGGACAACATGAAACTTGTTCGACAAAACGAATCACTAATTTCAGTTTGCTGATCACAATTTATTATTACCCATGGAAGTACGCTGTAATTCTCAATGTCCTAACCAATCAAAATCAAGGCCTGCCTGCCTTACATTGACACAACAATAATAGCTTTGCCTTTGCCTAGGGCTTGAGTGCCAAGGCCAATCCAACTTTAGCACTCTTTTCAATTGCTGTGGTGTCCACCTCTCCAGATATTGTGATGAGCGATTTCGGGCGCCATTCATGCTGGATCAGAGCACTTGCTCTGCCAAAGTTATTCACACGAGCCTTCACCATGGTCAACGGTCGAGAGCATGCTGCGTACCGATCGTGAGAGTGTTCTCGTTACTTGAAAAGCTATGTGTCAGTTCCGCACCGACTGCCGTGTTAGTCAATGGGCTAACTGTGTGGTAGTAGGAAGCACTAAGTGTGTCACCTTTATCATTCCTGTAGTTAAATCAACAAAAATGCTTCATCAAAACCAGAAGCACAAGTGGAAATACAGAATCCACTAGGGCAGATATTTCTAGGTAACTTTCATGCTTCGGAACCCATAGTTTAATTAATAAACGACCAGGAACACATAAAGCAATTCAATAAAAATTGCATAGAAGAGAAATACGAGTGCACATGAAAATATATAAACCTAAAGGGTTATCCCCAGCTCTGCTGAAAGAACTACTTACAATGCCAAGGAAGCAATGAGGTCGGAATGGGTGAAATTCAACCCAGCATTCAGTTTTATTAAGTTCCCACTGGCAGTGTCAAATGAGAGATCAGTCCCAACAGTGACAAAGTTGTTTCCAACCACACCAGAGAAGTTAACAAGGGGATTTGCAGTCAATCCAATGCTGGTGCTTATGCCAGCATATTCATGTTGGTATTGCAGTTCCACCTGTTTCGACGACAATGAAAACCTCGTCATGTACTCATGAAACCAAATAAGTTTACAGAAGGGAAAAAAACAAAGCTACAACAGATTCGCTAAACCACGATGCTGAAAATGTTGGTACTATCAAGAACATAAAGTACAACAGTAAGGAAGTCTCCATTACCTTGCCAGACCTTTGATCAGGGACAACGCAACTAAAGATTGTCTTCAAACCTGGCGCAGGTTCATCAACAGTAATAGTGGAGAAAAGCTAAATTTAAAGAAAAACAACAAAAACAAAAAAATCAAGATTAGATACTATTTAAGTAAGGGTTAAATTCACCATTACAAATGAGTAAAAACTGTAAAAGACAAAAACATTCCATAACTTTGTATTCATCATAATGAGAAGGCCTTGGCCATTATACGCATGCGGCATTCAAAATTAAAGGCTTATCAAATTGTGAGAAAAAATGACAACTTACATTAGAATTAGTGTCAACTTTCACATTGGTTGTGATGTTGTTGTTCTTCAGCTCGGTACTTATATCACCCAACAGCAATTCACCTTTCTTAGTTCCAGTTGATGTGATTGCCTAAACATTCATCAAATTTAAGAATAAGGATATCAATTATCTAAGTAACATTTCTGCAAACAAATTCAAACAAATTATATGAATCTTTATAACTAGATTAGTAGAACCCCCGAAATAATAATAATGATACTAAGTAAATAATATGCTGAAATCGCCACCCATATTTTTCAGAAAACACCATAGACTAATAATCGATACAAGAAATAGAGATCAATAATGATAAAGTTCAAATATATGAGTTCACACATACAAATAAAATAAATCAAAATAATAGCGCAAACTTCACTAAATCAGCTGGAAAAGGAAACAATGTTGAAATATCCAAAAAAAATTAAAAGGAGGAACTCACAACTCCATTGGAAGTGTAAGTAGTGACAGTGAACTTATGGCCGGGCTGGTAATCCTTGTAAAGAAGATCTAAATTAAATTTTTAAAAAAATCAGTGAAAATGAAAAAGAAAAACAATTGAAGATAAACTAAGGAACAGGTAATTTTAGTTTCACCTCTGGCCTTTTTGCCGATATCGGTGTAGAGACCAGGGCCTTTTCCCATGCTTCTTGTTTTTTTCCCGAGAAAATGGAGAGGAAAATGAGAGATACGAGAGCTGGTTTCGTGTGACTGGCTCTTCGTTGTTTACGAAACACACGGAAGAAAAACAAAGCGAAAAAATGATTAAAAAACTAACTAATAAATATTTGGTGATTATGGAACGTTGATCTTGCGTGGAGAAAAATATTCTCTGTTATTGACCGTTGATATGAACTCCATGGTTGTTGAGGCCTCGGGTGTCGAGGAATCTAGATTGGGCATATTCGTCTACATAATATCACGCTCATTTATAATTTTAAAATAAAGTTATATTATTAAATATATATTTTTAAAATTTTAATTAAATTAAAATTTTTCGAGTATTAACTGCATAAAATTTAAGTTACTTGTTGTTTTAAAATTTATTTATGAAATAGATTAATAAAATTTTATTATAATTTTAGATATAGATTAATAATGTATCTAAAAGTTTTATTCGATATGATATTTTCATGATAATATTTTTTTTCTAAATATATTTAATGATTATTTGGTTTCACATCTAATGGTCTATATTACATGTGAGAATAGTCATTTTATTCATATTCGACGAGTTTCGATTCGATTAGTTAGATCAACTTTTTTTATTTTAGAAATTTAAGTTTGAGTTAGGTCTAGATTTATAGGTGTGAGGTTGAGTTGAGTTCAAGTTTAATGTGAAATGTATGATCTAATCCGATATAATATTATTTTATATTTAGAGATGATTGTAATAATATTTATTTTCATTTTTTATTAGATTCTTTTTTTACATAAAAAGAATGAATTGTATATAAATATATATAGGTCATGTCACCAGATTAGATTAAATGACTTAAAAAACATATTGAGTTTTGGATCGGATGAGACTCTTAGATCGAAATTGAATTAGATATAATTAAAAATATTTAATTTTTAAATCAAATTTAGATAAACTAAAAATCCAACCCAATTCAACGATATCAAGATAATATATTTGAGGTTGTTAACCTACTAAATTTCTGAACAACTTACTATGTTTTTTATAACCCCACAAAACTTTATTTTGCATTTAATATTTGAAATGAATTTGATTGTTGCTTTGTTTAATTATGAGAATTCCTGGTCGTGCTCATGAAACAAAGACTTCACCACAACGAGCTATGAAAACAAAAATCATAAAGCAGCTCAAGTCTTGAAAGAAATGAAGGATTCAAGCAGCAAGTTTGGTGGATTCACGTTCCACGGCGATCTTCAAGAGGCCGCCTTCTTCCAACACCATTTGAACCGGCAGGAACCCCATCCCGCTCGCTATAGCAAGCATCATCCGCTTCGTCTCGGACTTGAACTCCTCCAAATCCACCTTCCCGTTTGAGTCATGATCGAACTGCACGAACAGCAACTCGTGAACGCGAGCCAGCTCCCTCGGGTCCGTTTCAACGTCGACGCCGAAGTGAGTCTCGATCACCCTCAAGCTCTGTAATTCCTTCAACAACTCCGCTAAAGAAAGCAGCCCGTCATGGTCGGCATCCAGGCGAGCAAACCGGTCTCGTATCGAGACGTTGAATGCTTCTTCTTCTTCGACGAAGTCAACTATGGTAGCACCGTCCAACACTTCCACACTCATCCTTTTCGGCTCTTTAGTTGGTTTCCCAAAATCAAAAGTGACAACTTTGAACAAGACAAGAAAATACAAGGGGAAATGTTCTATAAAATTGTTGACTATGAAAGATGGATGTTAACGCATTATATATAGTGGTCATCCAGTCTTGATTCTCGAGCCTTTTCTAGTCCGAATACGTTGGCATCAAGTAGCACTTTTTAGCCCGTCGAATCTTATTGCCACGGTTTCAATTTATTTGGTTTGTTTGATTATAATTAAGACTAATTAATTAAACATTAATCATACAATGGGCTCAAACGAGTAGACGGTAAGAATCAAGAGAGAAAAGGAATATTCTTTGTGAGGAGATAAATGTTAGCCGTTAGTTGAAAGCCGGAGCCGACATAATTATTAAAGTCAAATGAATTTGCTCAATTCATAACATTTTCGTTTTTAAAGTCAAATGAAATCAAAGGTTGAAGTTTAGATGAAATCAGAGTGTTAAATACATTAAACTAATTTATATTAATGAAAAGTTATTTTTTTTTATTAATCTAGAGTAAATACAATGTACTAGATGTTCAACGATAACTTTTAATCATTTAACACTTAGTGCTCGTACTCTTCGCATTCTTAATACTTGAACTCAAGATTTCAATGAGTAACAATAATTCATTTATCATTGAGATCGTTCATGCTTGAAAAGTTTATAAATATTAATCTTATGTATAAAATTTTAATAAAGTGTTTTCTTAGGATGTAGTCTAATATCGTTTTCTCATTTTTTATTTATTTTTATATAGATCAAAATAAATATTTTTTTTGTTTTGGATTTTTTTCTTTTAGTATATTCTTAAAATACTTATTTTTTTTATATTTATGACATAATTATTCTTATGCTTATGGTATAATTTTGTCTATAATTATAATAGTTTGACGTTTTATATTATATTCATCACAACACATATTCTGATCAAGAAAAGGTCGACAATCTCGTATAGTTAGATGTCCTTTTGTGGTAGTTTATCGATGCATTCAAAATCATTCGCAGAATAATATATCAGATTAGTTCTCTCAATCTCCACGCTTGACACCTGCATCAATATTACGTCTAGATTGGAATAAAAAATATTAATAGTTGTTAGTTTGTTTAGAAGATAAAATATGTATTCAAGAAAATGTTTTAATTCTATTTTTCTTCACGCTCTTTAAATTTTCATTTTATGATTGTGTTATCTTTATTAGTTTTACTTTTTTATTTAATGAAGATCTAACATTTTATTAAAGGAATATATAAAATTTTAATATTCTATAATTATAGAATGGATACGTTTAAATTTTCGAAATATTATGCGCATGAAACAAAAATTTGAAAAGTGTATATAATTAAAAAAATATAACTTGTCGGTGGACTGATGAAAACTGTATGAAATTCGTTATATTCGTCCCGAGGGCATGACGAGTTTCAATTATTTATTATATTTTATAGACTCGTGAAGAGTACATGATAAATTTTAAAAACATTGTGATAAATTCATAGATCTTAAATTAATTTTCTAATAACTGTATTTCCCTAATTTTTTTCGTTTGAATTATTTGCTCTCGAAATCGAATAGAGACACTAGAAGTATAAACAAATAATATAAATATTATTTCTTTATTGAGACAATAAAATTATCGACAAATGATCCATGTGACTTAAAAAATATGTATATTTTTATTTTCATAATCTCAGTATGATTCATAAAATAAAAAAGGCAACCTTTGGCCGAACACCTTACTCGTTTTAGAAACTTTTTCTTTAAATGCGAACAATGTAGAAATGGTAAGCGGTTAACGTGCTCGATTCGAACATCTCAAAAGCCAAAAATGGAGGCATTTATGATCTACTCAACTTAAAAGAGGGGTACACATGATACACTTGCGTTATTTATAAAATTACGAAGTTGCTGGGGCTCTGATCTCCATGATATTTTCATTTTGTTTGGTGCCAAATTAACGATTGAGAACAAACGGTTCGGTAATACCGTAACCCGTTATCATATCCTCAACTTTCTCTTTTACGAGATTCCGCAAAAGAAGTATCCAAGCCTACGTCTTTCCACTTCCATTGGCGGCCGACCATGGCGGCGGTTACCGTAGATTCTCTTCTCCAGAACCCTACCCTTATTTTTCCTCCTAAATCTAAGGTGTTGCTGAAACCGCCTAGCTCATTGGATTGTTCTAGAAACCGGAAGTTTCTCCTCTCTCGGAGCTCTTATTGACAACTTCGACGCCTCTTCTTCCGATGCCGTCTTGTACAAAGAGACTTTTCCCGTTAAACGAATAGAAAAGGTTTTGAAATCTTCAGCTTTTATATATTGTTAGTACTTTGGAATGGCGTTGCTTAATATGTACGACGAATTTTAAAAAATGATGTTAATTTTGTAAGTTCGGTTGATCAATGAAGCTTAATTCAATAGACTGTAATAATTCACGAGGAATTTCAAGTCGAACAGATCTGACTAATCTATTATAGTATCAGTGTAACTTGTTGGATCATAAACTTGATCCATTATGGGAGCCCAAACCAAACCCAAACTAAATTGATGTCATTACTTACATCATTTAATTAAAGATGTCATTGCTTACATCATTTAATTAATGATGTCATTGCTTACATCAATTTAGTTAGGTGAGAGTTAGATATTTGTTGAATTTGTAATGGTTTAAATTAGTTTATTTGTGTGGTGTAGGATTGTTCTTGAGTAGTATAAATACCCCTTCCCATTTTAGTTTTAAGCATCAAGAAAAATTAAGAGCTTCTAAGTGAGTGAAGAAGCAAAGTCTTATAAGAGTGAGTTGTAGTTCTTGAGTGAGAGTACTCTTGTAATATTTGTTTGAGTTTCAATAAAAGTTGTTTGTGTGAGTGTTTTATTTCCAACAAAGTGGCATCAGAGAGAGTTGGAAAGATCGAAGGTCTCGACGAGAGGAATACGACGCCGCCAGAATTTTCTCAATCTGAGTTCTGACGCACCGCCACGCACCGCCGGAAGACTGCTGCCAGAAAATCGAGTTGACTCACCGAGTTGAGCCGAGTCAGCCGAGTTGGAGCCCTTGACCGAGTTGTCCAAGTCCCTCCAAAGTTTTTTTTCATCGTTCCGGATTCATCCGTGCAATCGGATTTTACAAAATCTCATTATATTGAGAGATATGGCAAATGGTATGGCACCATTCCAAGTTCCGACACTCAACAACAACAACTATGACAATTGGAGTATCAAAATGAAGGCACTTCTTGGATCACAAGATGTGTGGGATATCATAGAGAAAGGCTATAACGAGCCTGCGGATGATGATGTTTTTGCTACTCTTACACCAGATCAAAAGACAACTTTGAAGGATTCAAGAAAGAGAGACAAGGCTCTCTACCTCATCTATCAAGCATTAGATGATGATGGTTTTGAAAAGATTTCAAGTGCAAGCTCTAGCAAGGAAGCGTGGGAGAAGCTGCAAACCTCTTACAAAGGATCCGAGCAAGTGAAGAAGGTTCGTCTCCAAACATTAAGAGGTGAATTCGAATCCTTAAACATGAAAGCATCTGAGTCTATTTCAGATTATTTCTCAAGAGTAGTAACTGTTTCTAATCACTTAAAAAGAAATGGTGAAAAGTTAGACGATGTGAGGATAATAGAGAAGATACTCCGTTCGTTGGATCCCAAATTTGAGCACATCGTCGTGACGATTGAAGAAACTAAAGACTTGGAAAAATGAAGATCGAACAGCTCCAAGGATCATTGCAAGCATACGAAGAGAAGCATAAAAAGAAGCATGAGTTTACTGAGCAACTCCTCAAGCTGCAACTCAAGGATATGCATGAGAGCCAACGCAATGATAGAAACCAACGTGGCCAAGGCAGAGGTAGAGGCCATGGACGAGGTGGAAGTCGAGGTCGTGGACGAGGCTGGAATTACAACAATAACAATTCCAACAATAACTATGAGAAAGGAGAAAGCTCAACACGAGGCCGTGGAAGAATTAATCCAAACTCAAAGTATGACAAATCTCAAATTCGATGTTATAATTGTCAAAAATTTGGGCATTATGCTTCAGAATGTAGAGCTCCCAATAACAAAATTGAGGAGAAGGCCAATTACGTGGAGGAAAAGACAGATGGCAAAGAAACTCTTCTTCTAGCACGAAAGGAAACTGATGGTGGCCAAGCAAATTCCTGGTATCTTGACAGTGGTGCAAGCAATCACATGTGTGGAAGGAAAGACATGTTTGTGGAGCTAGACGAGTCAGTAAGTGGAAATGTTTCGTTTGGAGATGATTCCACAATAGCAGTGAAAGGGAGAGGTAACATTCTTATCCGTTTGAAAGATGGGAGACATCAATTTATTTCAAATGTCTACTATGTGCCCAATATGAAAAGTAACATTTTAAGTTTAGGGCAACTGGTAGAGAAAGGTTATGATATTCATATAAATAATTATAATCTTTCTATAAAAGATGATAAGAATAATTTCATTGCTAAAGTGCCGATGTCAAAGAATAGAATGTTTTTGATCAACATACAAAATGATGTTGCAAAGTGCCTGAAAGCTTGCTACAAAGATGCATCATGGCTTTGGCATCTTCGATTTGGGCATCTCAATTTTGGAGGTCTAGAGCTATTATCTAAGAAGGAGATGGTGAAAGGAATACCTCACATCAACCATCCTGACCAGCTCTGTGAAGGGTGTCTAGTCGGGAAACAATTCAGGAAAAGCTTTCCAAAGGAGTCAGAGACAAGAGCTAAGAAGCCACTTGAGCTCATCCATACCGATGTGTGTGGACCGATCAAGCCAAGCTCTCTCGGTAACAATAACTATTTTCTTCTCTTCATTGATGATTTTTCAAGAAAAACCTGGGTATATTTCTTGAAACAGAAGTCAGAAGTTTTGAAGTCTTCAAGAAGTTCAAAGCAGCAGTGGAGAGAGAAAGCGGTAGAAAGATCAAAGCCATGAGATCCGATCGAGGTGAGAATTTACTTCCAGGGAGTTTCAAGAGTTCTGTGAAGCAATGGAATTCTTCGACCAATGACAGTTCCTAGAGCCCCCCAGCAAAATAGTGTGGCAGAAAGAAAGAAAGACAATCCTCGACATGGCACGAAGCATGCTCAAAAGCAAGAAACTACCCAAAGAATTTTGGGCGGAAGTAGTATCGTGTGCAGTCTACTTGTCAAATCGATCTCCAACAAGAAGTGTATGGGGAAAGACACCGCAAGAGGCATGGAGTGGAAGAAAGCCTGGCATTTCCCACTTGAGAACCTTTGGAAGTATAGCCCATGTTCACGTACCAGACGAGACAAGAACGAAGCTTGATGATAAAAGCGAGAGTTTTATCTTCATCGGCTATGATGCTAATTTGAAGGGCTACAAGTTGTACAATCCAGACAATAAGAAGTTTGTGATTAGTCGAGATGTGGTCTTCAACGAAGAAGGAGAATGGGATTTTAACTCTCATACAGATGACTTCAATTTCTTTTCTCTGTTTGAAGAAGATGAGCAGACAATGAGGGAGCAACTAGATGAATCTCAACAAGAGCTTGCAACTCCACCCACTTCACCAACATCAACCACTCAAGGAGACTCATCACCTTCATCATCGTCAAGTGGGAGTCAAAGTGAAAAAGTTGTGCAACGTACAAGAAGCCTTAGAGATCTCTATGAGGTAACTGAACGACAAGATAATCTTACATTATTTTGTTTGTTTGCCGATTGTGAACCAGTGAGCTTTCAAGAAGCGGTACAAGAAAAGAAATGGAGAGATGCGATGGACGAAGAAATCAAGGCCATCGAGAAGAATGACACATGGGAACTTACCTCACTTCCCAAGGGACATAAGCGATAGGTGTCAAATGGGTGTACAAAACAAAGCAAAATGCCAAAGGAGAGATTGAAAGGCACAAGGCGAGGCTAGTTGCTAAAGGCTATAGTCAAAAGGCTGGAATTGACTATGATGAGGTATTTGCTCCTGTTGCTCGATTGGAGACTATCAGACTAATCATTTCTTTGGCAGCTCAAAACAAGTGGAAGATACAACAGATGGATGTAAAGTCCGCCTTCCTAAATGGAGTTCTTGAAGAGGAACTTTACATTCAGCAACCATCAGGCTATGAAGTCAAAGGGCATGAAGACAAGGTGTTGAAGTTGAAGAAGGCTCTTTACGGGCTAAAACAAGCACCAAGGGCATGGAATAGCCGAATCGACAAGTACTTCCAAGAGAATGGTTTCAACAAATGTCCCTACGAGCATGCTCTATATATCAAGATCAAAGATGAAGATATTTTGATCGTGTGCCTCTACGTGGACGATTTGATCTTCACTGGAAGCAACCCAAGCATGTTAATGAATTCAAGGATGTGATGATGAAAGAATTCGAGATGAAAGACATGGGGCTCATGGCGTACTACCTTGGCATTGAAGTTAAGCAACAAAATGATGGAATTTTCATTTCACAGGAAAGCTATGCAAAGGAGATACTGAAGAAGTTCAAGATGGAGAACTGTAAGCCAATAAGCACACCGGCAGAATACGGGATCAAGATGACCAAACATGAAGAAGGCGAAAGTGTAGATCCAACATTCTTCAAAAGTTTGGTAGGAAGTCTACGCTATCTAACTTGCACGAGACCCGATATTCTTCACGCAGTTGGATTGGTTAGTCGCTACATGGAATCCCCAACAACCACCCATTTTAAAGCTGCAAAGAGAATTCTCGCTATCTGAAAGGTACAATTGACTTTGGCTTGTTCTATTCAGTTTCTAATGATTACAAGTTGTTGGATATAGCGACAGTGATTGGGGTGGAGACATAGATAATCGAATGAGCACTACTGGATTCGTATTTTTCATGGGAGATATTACATTCACATGGATGTCAAAGAAACAACCGATTGTCACATTGTCCACTTGTGAAGCGGAATATGTTGCTGCTACCTCATGTGTTTGTCATGCAATTTGGCTTAGAAATCTATTGAAGGAGATTGGTTTGATACAAGAAGAGCCTACCAAGGTTTGTGTCGACAACAAGTCAGCCATTGCCTTAGCGAAGAATCCAGTATTCCATGATCGAAGCAAGCACATTGATATTCGCTACCACTATATAAGGGAGTGTGTTGCAAGAAAAGATGTGTAAGTTGAATATGTGAAGTCACAAGATCAAGTTGCTGATATTTTTACCAAGTCACTGACCAGCGAAGACTTCTTAAGATTAAGGAACCTACTAGGGGTCACGAGATCAAGTTTAAGGGAGGGTGTTGGATCATAAACTTGATCCATTATGGGAGCCCAAACCCAAACCCAAACTAAATTGATGTCATTACTTACATCATTTAATTAAAGATGTCATTGCTTACATCATTTAATTAATGATGTCATTGCTTACATCAATTTAGTTAGGTGAGAGTTAGATATTTGTTGAATTTGTAATGGTTTAAATTAGTTTATTTGTGTGGTGTAGGATTGTTCTTGAGTAGTATAAATACCCTTCCATTTTAGTTTTAAGCATCAGAAAAATTAAGAGCTTCTAAGTGAGTGAAGAAGCAAAGTCTTATAAGAGTGAGTTGTAGTTCTTGAGTGAGAGTACTCTTGTAATATTTGTTTGAGTTTCAATAAAAGTTGTTTGTGTGAGTGTTTTATTTCCAACATAACTTTGGAGAAAAGAGATTACTGATAATTTGAACAGAGCTCTGGATTCGGTTTGATTAGATTGAGTGGTTATTAATTTCTTTGGTTTGAGATGTTAGGTGGAGGGGAAATTTTTCATCAGGTGGATCAATAAAAAAAATCAACGGGATTGGCAACTTACAGTAGGATGTAGTCTTCCAGGAAAGTGGATTCTTCATTGGGGAGTTTCTTATCTTGAGGATGACTCTCAACTTGTACTAAGGCTGTTGTGGATTTTAAGGTGGCAACTTGCACAGAGGTAGGGATTTTAAGGTGCCTTTGTGGATTACCTGAGGATGATGGCAATAATGTTGGAGCGAAAGAGGGTTTGGCGTACGGTCAGGTGGCTGAAAGTGTTTTATTGTTTCTTGCATGACTCTCAACTTGTACTAAGGCTAGACCAGGTGATTATTGAAGCCAGTTAGGTAATGTCGAAGGAAATAGTATACTTATATACTATATTCTATGTATACATATATTAGAAGTATAGTGTTCTGATATTACTTTGTTATTAATGAAATACTATTTATTCATATATTAAATGCTAGTTGCATTGTGTTCCTGCGGTCCTCTCTGTAAAAAAATATTAATGTAAAGAGAATATTATGGGTTCTCTTTCTTCATATAGTAATAATCGCCCTGAACCTCAAGAGCTCCGTGATGTGCTTAAACTTGAAACTTGTCAAAATGCATCAGACCTATATTTAATAATTTTTATTAATGACGTCTTAAAAATTACATATACCAACTATTAATTTATTGAATTATTATAAAATAGTTACCGGATTTTATATAATATGTATTAATTATTGAATTATTGTCAGATAATTATTATTTTTTAAATTATTAAAATCATTATTAATTGTACTATTAATCTAACACCGTAATAATCATTTATAATTATTAATGATATTTTATGAACTTTAAAATTTTAATAATTAAAAAGATATTTAAACATAATTTAAGAATGTTGATATTCATTACTCTTCTAAATTTGTCAAATTTTCTATTAGGATCTGAATATGTAAACAAAAGATGGTTAATGATATGCGTCGGTACATGTATATGTATACAATTTCTTTGACGAAAAATCCTAAGCACAGTGCACAGTGACTCATCTCCCGTCACATGTAACTTGTCTGGTTTGCTCCCTCCAAAACATTACTTTTTGAGAAAATAACCAAGTGACAAAAAATGCCTTATAATATACGATTTTAACCAAATTTTTTTGGATTTGCCAAAATGACCAACTAAATCGTAATGCGATCGATAATTCGCAACGCGATCTCCGGTATCGCAAATCAGTTTCCAGATTCGCAACGCGATTCTGACTATCGCATTGCGATTTTCCAAATTCGCGTTGCGATTTTCCGAATTCGCAATGCGAATATGTAAATCGCAATGCGAATATGTAAATCGCAATGCGATTATGACTATCGCAACGAGATTCTGACTATCGCAACGCGATTCTGACTGTCGCAACACTGAATTTTAAATTCGCAACAGGTTTTAGTTTCGCAACACAAATGTTTTGGGTATATAACTACGCAGCAGAAGCAACTCATAACCTAAATCCCTAAATCACAACTCATTCCATCTCCATCTATCACTCTCTCCGACGACATCCGTTCCTATATCCAACGACATCCTTCCCCATCCGGCAACAGGTTTAGGTTTCGCAGCTCGTTTGTTTAGTAAATTAATTTACAATAATAGAATCATCTAATGTTGATCATGTTTGGATAGATTTCTGTTTTGGAGGATCATGAGAGAATGTTCATAGTGTTTTACAATATATGCCTTTACCCATGAATCTTCAACTAAAACTATCATTAAAAAAGTTAACTTATGAAACTCTAATGTTACGTGTTGCAAATAAATTGAATTTAGAGCCCTTAAGTGGATTAGGCTATCTTATCAGAGAAAATGTAATGTTGTTGAACCTAGAAGTAGTGAAGTTGGATCGGTAGCGGGTAGTAATCAACTAAGTTTTTCAACCCCAGTTTATGGTGCTCAAAATTTAATGGTTCCACCACAATTTCATCACCAAGCAAATTTTGTTTCACCACATTTCCAATACCAAACACAATCTCAAAACCCACAACCTTTCCCTAATCCAAATCCCAATCAACTTTCAGCACCAAATTTCGGTTTTCGTATTAACCAGTTAGATGATGATGAGCCAACAGAAAAAATTGTGAGTACTAGTCGGTATTCAAAATTTGATCTTGGTCAATACCCGGACTTTGATCTTGGTCAATACTCGGATTTTGATGATGTTTCAGAAGAAGAAACAGACCCTGCGTGTAATGATTTTGATATTGGTCAATACCCGAATTTTAATGATGAAATAGCCGCTGCCGAGGAAGATGTTGTTGATGATAATGAGGAGGAAGTTATGACTGTGAATGAACATGTTGAACATCCATTCTGTAATTCATATAACCCTGAAGAAGAAAAAGAAGAAGAAAAAGTCCCCGAAGAAAAGTCCCCGAAGAAAATGCCACGGGAGTATAACTGGAATATGCCAGAATTACTTCAGATACCGGAAGAGAGTTGGTAAAATAGCAGTTGATTGTTACACAAAAATATTTGTATCAAGAAAGACCATTCTGTAATTCATATAACCCTGAAGAAGAAAAGAAGAAGAAAAAGTCCCCGAAGAAAAGTCCCCGAAGAAAATGCCACGGGAGTATAATGGAATATGCCAGAATACTTCAGATACCGGAAGAGAGTGGTAAAATAGCAGTTGATTGTTACACAAAAATTATTTGTATCAAGAAAGATGATTGTTTTGATACAAATGAAGACTTGAAGATAACTTTGTATACGAAATGTGTGGAAGATGTCTATCAACTAAAAGTTAACAAATCAAGCAAAGATCGTTTCGAAACAAGGTGTATGATTGACAAAAATTGTACGTGGCGTATGATTGCAAAGAGGATAAAAGATTGTGAAATGTTTCAAGTTAGGACTTTTATGATAAACATACATGTTCAAGAACCCAAGTTTTTCCTCACCATAGACAGGCAAACAAAGGTGTTGGGTGGTTTTTGGCTGAGTTAATGTTTTTGAATGGCAAGGTATATCGGGGACATGAAATTATGACTGACATGAATGCTGGTTCAAGATTAGTATCTCATATTCTCAAGCTTGGAGAGCCAAATGTTATGCTTGGAATTGTTGAGGGGGTCGCCAGAAGAATCGTTGCCCAACTGTCGGCTTATTGTCACAATTTAAAGCTGAAAAATCTCGGGTCAGTAACTCATATCAAAACAGATAGAGATGGACGCTTGAGTTGCTGTTTATCGCCATTGGTGCTGCGGGTAAATCAATATAATTTGTGACTCATTTTTGTTAGTTACATGCATTTCACATTTAAATGATTATTTCTTGTGTATATGATTTTGTAGATTCGTTCGTTTATTACTTGCATGCACCCAGTTTTATAGTTGACGGAGCACATTTAAAAGGTCGATACCTTGGAGTAAACTTATAGCAGTAGCCTGGATGCTAACAATGGGATACTGCCAATAGCTTACGGGGTTGACAAATCTGAAACCTCTTTCATAGACATGGTTTATGGAGCATCTTAGGGATTGCATAGGTCCTATTAGCAATCTGACAATCATATCCGATAGGGCAAACTCAATTGACAACGCTGTTAGAAGGTGTTTCCCATAGCTTTTCATGGACTTGGTGGTGTTCATTTATATAAATCTAAAATCAGGTCTGCTGGTATAAAAAATCACAAATTGACATACTGAAAGGCTATAAAGCTTATCGGAAGTGGATTTTAATAAGCATATAAATTGTTTAAGACGTGTTTTGCCTCAGTGTGCTCAAACACTAGAAGAGTCGGGTTTGAAAGATGGTCAAGAGTACATCAACTTGGAGCAAGATATGGTTTCATGACGTCTAATAGTGCAGAATCAATCAACGCTCTAAGTCGTCATTCCCGGAAATTACCCATTACTAAGTTAATGGAGTTTTTTCGAGCCTCTATTCAACAGTGGTACTACAAGAAAAGAAACCATGCAAGTATTATTTCTTTAAATTCGTAACTTATCATATATTTTACTAAGTATTATTTATTTAAATTTACAGGAACATTGGAACAGTGTTACACCGTGGACTGAAAAAAAGATAACGAAACGTGTTGTGAAGTCAACGTCATGGAGAGTTTAACCATGTTCAACACTTTGTTTGAAGTACTGGATAATAACTTAAATGGGCTTGTCGATCTAAATGCAAAGACATGTAGTTGTATGAAATGTCAAGCATCTGGTTATCCGTGTGGGCATGTTATAAAAATTGCTCTTCATCTAAACCAAGATGATTCAAGCGCATACGTATGGATTGCTACACTACATAAGTATATCGACAGACTTATGCCGAGATTATCTACCCTATTCCACCTTCTGAGTGGGATACTAGATGACTTACAAACAGTTTTGCCACCAGCCATGACAGAAGGCTACCTGGCCGACCAAAAGTCACGATCGTATACCGTCTAAGGGTGAAGAGAAGAAGAGATCGACATGTAGTCGGTGCAAGGAAAGTGGTCATACAAGGTTGACATGTGGATCACCAGTGCCATCACAATCATCTTTTCCTCTATCAAAATATGGATCCTCATCAAAATCCAAAGCTCATATGGTGTCAAGAAAAAGGCAATCAAAATTGCAATCAAAATCAAAATCCCAATCACAACCGGCTTCACCTTTTGGGACTATTAACTTAGGTGATTTTTAAATGCAAACATTGTATTATGTGTAAACTTTTAACATTTTCAGTTAGGCATGTATTAGTAACTTGAGTTTGAACATTGCTATGATCTGTTCAGTTATTATCACTTATTACACATTCATTTGAATATCACAACACGAATTTGACTATTATGTGTATTTTATGTGTAAACTTTTAACATTTTCAGTTAGGCATGTATTAGTAACTTGAGTTTGAACATTGCTATGATATGTTCAGTTGTTATCACTTATTACACATTCATTTGAATATTGTAACGCGAATTTGACTATCGCAACGTGAATTTGATTATCGCAACTCAAAAATCGCAACGCGAATTTGACTATCGCAACACGAATATGACTATCGCAACGCAAAAATCGCAACGCGAATTTGACTATCACAACGCGAATTTGATTATCGCAACGGGTATTTGACTATCGCAACGAGAAAATCGCAACGCGAATTTGACTATCGCAACGGGTATTTGACTATCGCAACGAGAAAATCGCAACGCGAATTTGACTATCGCAACGCGAATTTGATTATCGCAACGGTTTCGCGTTGCGATTTTGTCTTTCGCATTGCGATTTTGAGTTTAACGTTGCGAAAGTGTACCTCCAACAGGTCTTTTGCCTTCAATATGATGCAGATTGAAATCAATAAATAAACTTTTACATTTCAATCAATTAAACAAGCACAAATAAGAATTATTCACACATCAATAAAACAAATCAACTTTTACAAATCAATTAAACAAGCAAAAAATGATAATAATTCTAATTTTCCTCATCAATTAAACAAATCAGACTTTTAATAATCAATTAAAAAATAAAAAAAAGTGTACCCCAGACAGTTGTTTATGCACCCATACATCAATTTCACGCAGCTCACTTCAAGATTAACCTGCAGAAACCAAACATTTGCTCAAATAACACTTTCTACACATCTAAAACC